CCCAGTCCTCAGGGGAATGTAAATCAATCTCCCGGGCGACCTTCTCACACCTGTTAGGATGGCGATCCAGAGGCGGGCACGCAGGCACGCACCCTGGCGAGACCAAGGCTCCTGGCTGCAGGCGGCCAGGCGGTGCGGACCGGGAGGGGCGCGCTCCTCCCCCGCAGGTGTGGCGCCACGGTGGTGCAGTTTCTCTGCAAGGTGAGCTCTGCGCATGCGCTGTCCTCAAGTTCGTCGGGGGACCACCGGTGGGGCCGGATCGGTGAGACCAACGTCCGTGACCCCTGGACGCGTAGAGGCTTCGGGGTCAATCTTGGAGAAGCGGGGCCCCAGAGTCACCTTCCCCAGGCTTGGTTCCAACTTTCGTCGGGGGCGGTGTGCTCTGCACGTTCCCCCGAAGCACACTGCTGGCATTTTCGCGCAATATTGTGCGGATTTTCTCCGCTGACGGCAGCTTTTATCACAGATTCCTGAATGACTCCTCCATGGGCAGGTAAAACCCGGAAAGTGAGGGGCTCCAAGGACTGCCTCTCAGGGCTTGGGGTGGGGGGGCGCCTTGTGCAGGATGGAATTTCGCAGCCGGTTGTCTGCTTTGCTATTCCATGGAAGCTTGAAGAAGGATCTGAAAGCAGCTCCCTTAGCCTCTTCTGCAAATGAAACCGGGGAAAATTCCACGAAGTTTTTTTGGGCCTGGACAGCTGCTGCTCTCTCTAAAGGAAGCGCCTCCTGTGTTGCTGATCCGTACAAGGTCGTGGGGACCCCGCGCCGGCAGGAGGGCACCAAGGACAAGACTGGTGCCCGCGACGCCCCTGGGGTTCCGGGAGGAAGGGGCCTCCTTGCCCAGCTGAACCCCCAGATCCCAAACACTGCCATTGGGGTTTTCCTTGCTTGAGATAGATCCCTGCTTCCTTGGAATCCTGCCTACTTCTGTGCTCCCGACTGAAGCAGATTCAAGAATCTTCATGGTGCGGCTCATCACTCGCAGTATCAAACTCCTATTTTTTGTTATCTTACATCCTGTCGGAGTTGCTGGGGAACTTCTTACACTACGTGCTACCTTGCCATGTGGGGTATGTTTTCAGGATGACTTCCTAACAAATACAATGTCTCTTTTGACTACCACCGTTTTCTTCTTCTTTTAAAGAAACTCTTACTTATTTGAAAGGCACAGTTAGAGAGAGGGAGGAGACAGACATCTTCCAGCTCCTGTTCACTCCCCAATGGCAGCAGAAGCCAGAAGCCAGGAGCTCCTTCTGATCTCCCACGTGAATGACAGGGGCCCAGCACTTGGGCCATCTTCCACTGCCTTCCCAGGTGCATTAGCAAGGAGCTGGGTCAGAAGTGGAGCAGATGGAGTTCTCGCCTTCTCTGTCTGCCTGGCCCAGCCCGGGCCTCTGCAGCCATTTGAGGAGTGAACCAGTGGATCTCTCTCTCTCTCTCTCTCTCTCTAACTCTACCTTTCATGCAAAAAAAAAAAAAAATCCATCCACATGAGTACTTCAAACCTATTATCTCCTAAATTAACCTCCAGTCTTCCCCATTACATAAATGATCTCACCGTATTCCAGTTGAATGAACCAAAAGCTTGGAACTCTTCCTTGCTATCTCCATTTCCCTCACCTCTTCCTCACAAAGCCCAGTAGCAGTTCCCACAGGACCCACGTTTCATGCAGCTCTCTTCTGACCGCTTCTCCCTTTACTCTCAATCTTCTTTTTTAAAATACTAATCTTTTTTTTGAAAAAAAAAGTTTTTATTTCTTTGAAAGGCAGAGTTACAGAGAGAGAGGTCTTCCATCCGCTGGTTCACTCCCCAGATGGCCTGCAATGGCGTAGCTGCGCCAATTAGAAGCCAGGAGCTTCTTCCAGATCTCCCACGTGGGTGCAGGGGCCCAATACTTGGGCCATCTTCTACTGCCTTCCCAGGCCACAGCAGAGAGCTGGATGGGAAGAAGAGCAGGTGGGTCTCTAACCGGCGCCCCTATGGGATGCCGGCACTGCATGCAGGAGCTTTACCCGCCGCACTACAGCACCGGCCCCTCACAGTCTCTTAGAAGCCTTTCCGTTGCAGGCCCCTCACAGCTGCCGCCTTTATACAGAGAGCTTCACAGGTATCAGATGCAAACCATCTTTCATCTGAATCAATGCAGTTCTAAAAGAAAATGTTCAAAAAGTAACACTTTATAGCTATAATGCCATGTAAATTTAAATCCTAAACATTTCCTTTTAGGAATTATTATCTTTTTAATATGGAATTCTTAAATTCAAAATTGTAAAAGTTCAAAAAATCATCAAGTTTGTATGATTCAAAAAATACAGTGTAATTTAAACTTTTATTTTAGGAATCATCACTTTCATATGCCAAAATTTTTAGAAATGTGCAAGACCTACATATATGCATATAATTAGTAAGCCTCACTTATTTATTTTTCCATTCACCTTACCCTACTGACCCAAATAGATGGATTTTGTACATTTTGAAATTGTTTCAGTTTTTCTTTATGTGTTCACAATCAGTATGAATATACAGTCAACATTTTTTAAAAAAGGTTTATTTATTTATTTGAAAGTAAGAGTTAAACAGAAAGAGGAGCGGGAGTGAGAAAGAGAGAGAGAGAGAGAGAGAGAGAGGTCTTCCATCTGCTGGTTCACTCCCCAGTTGGCCACAATGGCCAGAGCTGTGCCGATCCAAAGCCAGGAGCCAGAAGCTTCTTGAGTGCAGGGGCCCAAGGACTTGGACCATCTTCTACTGCTTTCCCAGGCCATAGCAGAGAGCTGGATCAAAAGAGAAGCAGCCGGGTCTTGAACCGATGCCCATATGGGATGCTGGCACTTCAGGCCAGGGTTTTAAGCCGCTGCACCACAGCACTGGCCCCAGCATTGTTTTGTTTTGTTTTTAAGATTTATTTATTTATTTGAAAGGCAGAGTTGCAGATAGAGAGAGTGTGTCTTCCATTCGCTGGTTCACTCCCCAATGCAACGGCCAGAGCTGAGCCTATCTGAAGCCAGGAGCCAGGAGCTTCTTCCTGGTCTCCCACACAGATGCAGGGGCCCATGGTCTTGGGCCATCTTCTACTGCTTTTTCAGGCCATAACAGAGAGCTGGATTGGAAGTGGAGCAGCTGGGACTTGAACCAGCGCCCATATGGGATGCCGGCACTGCAGGTGGCAGCCTTACCCACTATGCCACAGCACTGGCCCCCATGCATTGTTTAATGATAGGCACATGTTCTGGGAAATGAGTTGCTAGGTTATTTTATACTGTGCAGACATTAAGAGTGCATGTGTACAAACCTAGATGGTACACACTTACTGCTTCTAATTTATAAATCTGCATGGTATGTTACTATACTGAGTACTATAGGAAATAGTAACACAATGTTGTGTAGCTAAGCTCATCTAAACATAGGTACAGTAAATCTAAAGATTTAAAAAAAACATTTATTTATTTTATTTGAAAGAGTTACAGAGAGAGAGGGAGAGACAGAGAGAGATGAGATCTTTCATCTGCTGGTTCACTCCCTAAATGACTGCAACTCCCAGGGCTGGACCAAAACCAGGCCACAGCTGGGAGCCAGGAGCTTCATCTAGGTCTCCCACATGGGTGCAGGGACCCAAGCACTTGAGCCATCTTCCACTGCCTTCCCAGGCACAATTGCCAGGAACTGGATTGCAAGTGGCGCAGCCAGTACTTGAACTGGTGCCCACATAGGATGATGGTACAGCAGATGGTGGTTTAACCTACTGCACCACAGCGCTGGCCCCCATGTAATGATTTTTTTAATGGAATTCTTGTATTGGGCACTAACCATGAATGGAGCTTGCAAGCTTCGAAGTCGCCCTGAGTGGGCCAGCTGAGTGCCTGGTGAGTGAATGTGAGGCCTTAGGATATTGCTGTACTCCACTGCAGACTTTATAAGCACAGCATATTTAGACTATACTCAATTTATAAAAATATTCTTCTTCAATCATGAATTAACCTTAGCTTACTATAACTTTACAAACCTTTTAACATTTGAAACTTTTTGACTCATTAGTAAAAGTACTTATCTTAAAACACATTGTAAAACTGTACAAAAATATTACTCCTTTATATTCTTACTCTAAGTTTTCTTCTACCTTTGGAACTTTCCAATTTTTGCCTTTTGAACATTTTTTGTTAAAAACTTAAGACAACATGCAAATTAGCTCAGGTCTGCACTGGTCAGGATCATTAACATTACTGTCTTCCACCTATACCTCTTGTCCCACTAGAAGATCTTTAGGGGCATTGGGTAACTGGAGCACAGTTACACAAACCTACATGGGCTAGCCTGCCATACACTTAGACTATAAAACAGGTGCATGATAGATCATACATAGGAATGGTTGACCAGAAGGTAATTATGCAGTGGATGACTGTACATGGGATATACATACAATGGAATTTTGTTCAGCCTTAAAAAGCAAGAAAATTCTGATGTGCTACAATGTGGATGAACCTTGAGGATAACTATTGAAATAAGCCATATATGAAGGGACAAATAAAAATTGCCACTTCCTAAGCACAGACAGACCTCTGAATATCCACATAAATGGTAGCAGGGTCTACATATAGGAAAGAACTCTGGAGACTTATTCTATTGGTTCACCTCCCAAATGGCTGCAACAACCACAGCTGGGCCAGGCCAAATCCAGGAGCCTGGAGCTTCATCTGGGTCTCCCAAGTGGGTGGCAGGAGTCCAAGGACTTGGGCCATCCTCCACTGATTTTCCATGTACATTAGAAGGAAGCTGGATCAGAAGTGGTGAAGCCAAGACTTGAAGCAGCACTCAGGTATGGGATGCTGGCATCACTGGTGGCAGGTTACCACAATGCTAACCCCATGGAGTAGATTTTAGCCACTTGATTAAGATGGAACCAGCCAGGTTTCTCCACTGCACAATGATCAGCTTTCCTTTTGTAATCAGTAAGCATGTATGAGGAGATTCTTTGAGATAATGTACGTACCTTGTTATTCACACTTTAAGATTTTTTAAAAAGATTTTTATTTATTTATTTGAGAGATAGTTACAGACAGAAGGAGAGACAGAGATAAAGGTCTTCCATCCACTGGTTCACTCCCCAAATGACTACAGTGGCCAGAGCTGTGCCAATCCAAAGCCAGGAGCCAGAAGCTTCTGGGTCTTCCACATGATTGCAGGGGCCCAAGGACTTGGGCCATCTTCTACTGCTTTCCTAGGCCATAGCAGAGAACTGGATCAGAAGAGAAGCAGCCGAGACACGAACTGGAGCCTATGTGGGATGCTGGTGCCACAGGCAGAGGCTTAGCTTATTAGGCCAAACTTTAAGATTTTTAAATATCAATCTATGCTTTTTGCCTGCATCAATAATTATTGTGATGATTGAAAAAATTACTAGATTTATTTTCATTTTTAAGAAGATTTATTTATTAGCATTAGAGAGGTAGAGACACAGAGAAAAAAAGAGATCCTCCATCTGCTTTTTCACTCTCCAAATGGCTGCAATGGCCAGAACTGGGCCAGGCTGAAGCCAGGAGCCTGAAACTATCCAGGTCTTGCATATGGAAAGCAAGGGCCCAAGCCCTTGGGCCATCCTCTGCTGCTTTCTTAGGAACGTTAGCAGGGAGCTGGATCTGAAGAGGAGAGGCTGGGACTTGAACCGGTGAACTATGGAATGCTGGCATAGCAGTGTGGCTTTACTCTGGCATCACAACACTGGCTCCTATTAGATTCATTTGCATTGTCTCGATGTCTGGTGAATTCTGAAACCAGGATGGGTCAGTCAGACTGTGTAGTTTCTCTTGTATTTGCCTCCTGAAGTCCTGTTTACTGTTTCTTGAAGGTTTATCTTGAACTCTCAGTGAAAAGGTAGATTTCTTGAAAGACTGTGAGAGAAATGTAGGGCTCAGGTTGATTATATCAAATATATTGAATTTGTCTTTATGTCTATAATGTTCTGACTACAGAGAAAACAGTTGCTAATGAAGGGGTACCATTTTATGTACCTTCCATACCTAAGGAGGAAAGATAGAAGAGAAAAGCTTACAGGCCAATTTATATTCAGATGTGGAAGGCAACCAGTCCCCACTTGCCAATCCAATATGGAAGCCATTACCTCCTTAGAAAGCCATGCCCCATCCTGCCCCTAGGAAAACCCAGCTGAGGATCTACAACTCCATTTCCTCATTCTTACCATCAACAAAAATTTGAGCATTTACTATGCAACCAGGTACTGAGGAGACATCAGTGAAAAAAAAAATCCACATCTAAGTAGGACTGGACTTATGGGAAAAGAGGGCGATGGAATTCCTTGGAAGATCCACAGACTTGGAAAGTCTTTAAGGACTGTGACTAATCTCCTGACTCTGGGGAGCCAGATAAGGTGTGGAAATATCCCGCACCTCCCAAGAGAACTCCTGCATGGAAGCAATAGATACCCAAGAGACTCCTCCTATGAACTGAATTAGGTAAAAGAGGCCGGTTACCTTGAAGCAGTCTCAGTGTTCTTCCCCTGGGTCTTGTTCTAAGAGCTCATTAGATTTCCTTTTTCTCTGGATATTGAATCTATTTCTCCGGTTTTGAAACCAAATCTAAGCCAGAACAAATGTATTTAGTGAAAATAACAGATGCTGCATGAAACTCACCATTTTTTTTCTTAATGTATAGGAGAGGGGTGGTTCATTTTAGGACTAATCTCAATATCATTATTGACATTTCAGGTGACACCTGTGAAAGTCTATGAAATCTGAGAATAGGACACAAAATTGTGGACCTCACATCCAGTCCATTCCTAAACTGGTGATGGGTTGTGTATCTATCCTGATAGTCTCCATGGCCCCTATTACAAGGGTTGGCCTTTTTTTTTTTTTTAAAGGTTTATTTATGGCCGGCGCCGTGGCTCAATAGGCTAATCCTCTGCCTGCGGCACCGGCACACCAGGTCTAGTCCCAGTCGGGGCACCAGATTCTGTCCCTGTTGCTCCTCTTCCAGTCCAGCTCTCTGCTATGGCCCGGGAGTGCAGTGGAGGATGGCCCAAGTGCTTGGGCCCTGCACCCGCTTGGGAGACAAGGAGAAGCACCTGGCTCCTGGCTTTGGATCAACATGGTGCGCTGGCCACAGCGCACCAGCCGCAGCGGCCATTGGGGGGGTGAACCAATGGAAAAGGAAGACCTTTCTCTCTGTCTTTCTCTCTCACTGTCCACTCTGCCTGTCAATAAATAAATAAATAAATAAAATATTTGTTTATTTATTTGAAAATCAGTTACACAGAGAAAGGAGAGGCAGAGAGAGAGGTCTTCCATCCGTCCGATGGTTCACTCCCCAGATGGCTGCGACGGCCTGAGCTGCGCCGATCCGAAGCCAGGAGCCAGGAACTTCTTCTGGGTCTCCTATGTGGGTGCAGGGGCCCAAGGACTTGGGCCATCCTCCACTACTTTCCCGGGCCTGGAAAGAGAGCTGGACTGGAAGAGGAGCAGCCGGGACTAGAACTGGTGCCCATATGGGATGCCGGCACTTCAGGCCAGGGCATTAACTCACTGAGCCACAGCGCTGACCCTGGGTCAGCCTTTTTCTAAAGTGCAGTTCTGTATTGCAGTGCTGTCTTTTCCCTGAAATCCTTTCAATCTTTACATTTTCCCTTGAAAAATGCTTATGTCACTCAAGATCTTTAGTAGAGTAACATTCTAGAAAGACATTCTTCATCTGCAAGACCTAATTAATTTATATTCCTTGTCTGTGCCCATAAATTCTATATAGATATATATATATATATTCTATGTATATATTTGCATATAAAACATAGAAACTAATACAGTATAATTTGTAAAATATAACTTCAAATACACTCATGCTTGTATCAATGCATTCTGATAAAATTATTTTAGGATTAATCAGGAATGAATCCTTGAGCAGGCCTCCACATTTCTCTGAGCTAAATGTTAGATCTCTAAAGTGGACAGAATAATTCCAGTCTCAAGGGAAAATTAGAAAGGCTGCAGGGTAAAATAGATATAAAGATTTTTGCCAAGTGCCTAACTAATATTCAATGTTTACTCATTCATTCATCTCATTCCTAGTGTCATATGCTCAGTACTGTTCAGGTCACAATGGATACAACATTGATATTGAAAGGTAGAACAGCCCACGGCCAATGTGGCTTCCCGGTCTATGCATCTCAATATCTAGGAGGTGGAGCAGCCACAACTCTGTATCACTTACTTGGATTCTTGACTCAGGAACCCCAATTTCTTTGGCAAGTTGTTCTCTGGAATCAATTCCTGGGTAAGGGTTGCTCATAAATGCCTTGATGAGGGTGTGCAGTTGAGAGGAGCTGTAGTTGGTACGACACCGTCTGGATTCTCTTTGTACAGTAGAAGGATCTAGAGAGGATGGGTCTAGGAACATTTCAGGGGTTACTTTGCATATTTAAATATGGAAACCAATCATCTTGTCCCTCTCCATCCAATTTGTAACCTGCTTTCTCTCCCTGAGAGGACTTTGTCCCGATCCCACTCCAGATAAGATTCTAGAGGAGATGCCGATAATGTGTCTGGGCTACTGGACTTGAGCTGAATAGAAGTAGCAGGGGGCAGGATGAGGGGGTTCTCAGAAGGTCCAAGAACAGGACAGAGAACTTCCTGGGTCATGTTGAACCCTTTGTCAACAGAAGACCTAAATGGAAGACCATGCGGGACGGAACAGCCTTACTACTCAAGACAGTAGTTAGCCCTGCTATAGAGGCCAAGTTGGGAACAACATTGGAGCAGGCTATTTAGTTTTCTGTTAGCCATAATGGTACATATTAATGGGGTGCAGTGCATATGTACATATGTACCATATGTACAGCTCAAATCATGGTTATCACTCTACATCTGAGTTGGATTGAATGGATATTTTCCTAGTGTTACATAGCACAAGGGGGTTAACTTTCGTTCACAATAGCCTATTACGTATTTTATGAGCAAATAGAAGAATGACACTCTGAATTCCAAATCATTAAGTAATGTCAAAGAAAGCTATTTACTTTGAATCTCTTCTTGAGGACAGTCTTCTCCATGGCCTTGGCTTGATTCTAAAGCTTCCTTAAGCTCTGGTGTTTTCTGGAATCGATGTCGTGCTCTTCGATTCTGAAACCAAACCTAAGAAGACTATGACTTAGAGAGAGTAGAAAGTTCACCGTATTTCCTCCCACCTCCTGTGTTGTGAAGTGAGACTAAGAGCAACATCTTTTTCAGTCAGGAACCTGAGTGTGAAGCTACTCCAAAGATTTAGCACACTGGTTTGTAATATGTGCTCACTCAATGCTTTTTCCCTTCTACTTCTACCCTTGGAGATATAGAGTGCATGACTGACCTGGATTCTTGACTCTTCAGTGTTGATTTCGGAAGCAAGTTTTTGTTTGGTAGCATAGCCAGGGTATGGTTTTTGGTTGAAGGCATTGATGAGGATTTTCAGTTGTTCTTCTGTGAATCTTGTGCGACTGCGCCTATAATTTTTTGATAGCTTCTCTGTGGAAAGAACTGTAGAAGGACTTAACAGCCAATTTAGATACTCAAATTTCAGTTCAAGGTGCCCCTCATTTCCTTTTCCCATTTGGAATCCCAGAACCCACAGAACCATACTCATTCCATGATAAAGACCCTGAACATACAAAGTCAATTTTCCAACTGTCCCCACTGATCTAAATGCCATGACTTGGGAATCTGGGTCCTGTTCTGAAAAACTGATAGTTTTTTTTTCATATAGATTAGGAGAAATGAGTCAAGATAATGCATATCATTACAGCGATGAAATGAAGAGTCTATGACACAAGCACCCTCAAGTTTTCTGGTCAAAATTGCTTGGCAGATTTTTTTAAATAAGTTTAGCTATCTGGTATTTTTTAAAAGATTTTATTTTTATTTATTTGAAAAGTAGAGTTACAGACAGTGAGAGGAAGAGACAGAGAGAAAGGTCTTCCTTCCGTTGATTCACTCCCCAATGGCCACGATGGCCAGAGCTGTGCCAATCCGAAGCCAGGAGCCAGGTGTTTCTTCCTGGTCTCCCATGTGGGTGCAGAGGCCCAAGGTCTTGGACCATCTACCACTGCTTTCCCAGGCCATAGCAGAGAGCTGGATAGGAAGTGGAGCACCCGGTACCTGAACTGGCACCCATATGGGATGCCGGTACTGCAGGCAGTAGCTTTACCCGCTACACCACAGCACTGGCCCCGCTGCTCCACTTCTGATCCAGCTCCCTGCTAATGTGCCTGGGAAAGCAGCAGATGATGGCCCAGTTCTTTGTGCCCCTGCCACCCATGTGAGAGACCCAGAAGTTCTTGGGTCAGACGTAGCTGTTGTAGCCATTTGGGAAATAAACCAGCAGATGGAAGATCCCTATCTCTCCTTATTTTCTGCCTTTAAAAAGAAAAACTAAAAAGTAAAAGAAAATAAATACAATATAATAGATCAGAAAGGAAATATTTTGGGGTCCGCATGTGGTTTAACAGATTAAGCCACTGCCTGCAATGTCAGCATTACTTATGGGCACCAGTTCGAGTCCTGGATGCTTCACTTCCAATCCAGCTCCTTGCTAATGAGCTTGGGAAAGCAGCAGAGGATAGCTCAAGTCCTTGGGTCCCTGAACCCACATGGGAGACCCAGAAGAAGCTCCTGGCTCCTGGTTTCAGACTGGCCCTGCTCTGCCCATTGCAGCCATTTGGGGAGTGAACCAGTGGATGGAGTTCCTCTCTCTCTCTCTCTTTCTCTCTTTGCCTCTCTGTAACTTTGCCTTTGAAATAAATAAATCTTTTTTTAAAGATTTATTTTATTTATAATTTGAAAGTCAGAGTTAGAGAGAGAGAGAGGTCTTCCATCTGATGGTTCACTCCCCAATTGGCCACAACAGTTGGAGCTGCACTGGATCTGAAGCCAGGAGTCAGGAGCTTCTTCTGGGTCTCCCATGTGGATGCAGGGGCCCAAGGACTTGGGCCATCTTCTGCTGCTTTCTCAGACCATAGTAGAGAGGTGGATAGGAAGTGGAGCAGCCGGGACTAGAACAGGCGGCCATATGGGATGCTGGCACTTCAGGCCAGGGCGTTAACCCACTGCACCACAGCGTCGGCCCCAATAAATAAATCTTAAAAAAAAAAGTTGAATATTTCTATGGGAAAGAACGAAAGTGGCAAGTAGAGAGTGCAGGGGTGAAATCAGAATTCTAAATGCAGTAGTTAAGGAGGGGCTTACTGAGAAAATGACATGAGCAGACTCTTTAGAAGCGATTTATTTTATCCACTCCCCAGATGGCCACAACAGCCAGAGCTGAGCCGATCCGAAGCCAGGAGCCAGGAGCTTCCTCCGGGTCTCCCACGTGGGTGCAGGGGCCCAAGGACTTGGGCCACCTTCTACTGTTTTCCCAGGCCATGGCAGAGAGCTGGATCAGTAGTGGAGTGGCTGGGGCACGAACTGGCACCCATATGGGATGCTGGCATTTCAGGCCAGGGCTTTAACCCACAGCATCACAGCACCGGCCCTAACCTCTGAATTTTGTAATGCTTCCTACAGCTGCTTTTGATAGTGCATCTGCCTCTCTCTTACTTTCCATCCGTACCTCCCTTGCCTCTTTCCTTATGAAGCAAAAATTTGTCTCATTTAGTTCTTGAATATCTGTACCTGTCTAAAGTCCCAGTGCCCAAATACACAGAAAATAGTATTTGTTCAACTTTTTCCCCTTTTACCAGCAGTTATTTCTAAGGTTTAAAAATGCAATTTCTAAGTAAATAAATAAAAAATAAATGCAATTGCTGGGGCCAACACTGAGGCACACTGAGTTAAAGCCCTGATTCTAGTCCTGGCTGCTCCACTTCTGATCCAGCTCTCTACAATGGCCTGGGAAAGCAGTGAAAGATGACCCACGTGCTTGGGCCCCTGCACCCACGTGGAAGACCTGGAGGAAGCTCCTGGCTCCTGGCTTCGGATCGGCTCAGCTCCAACCATGGCAACTATTCGGGGAGTGAAGCAGCAGATGGAAGACCTCTCTCTGTCTGTCTCTACCTCTCTCTGTAACTCTGTCTTTCAAATAAATAAAATAAATCTTTTTTAAAAATGCAATTTCTACAACTGACAAGCCCAGTCGTGGTTAGCCCAATTTCTTCCTCCTGTCGAGAAAAGTGCAGTCAAACGTGAAAGGAACTTACCATTTGAAGAGTTGTCTTCGGCCATGTTGGAAGACAATCACAGTGTCTAAGTGTCTGTCTAGGACACAAACCAAGGAGCATGGCTTTTATAGGATTAGCCCAGATGGCCCCACCCATTTCTTTAATCATTTGGGTAAATCTCATCATCCACAGCAATTGTAAGAGTACTTGAATCAAATGGTAATATCATCATTTCTTAAAGGGCTTTTCTTTATCTAAAAAAGGTCTTGATAGGCTTTCTTCAATAAACAGATTTAATAATTTATACCAATGCCTGCATCTAAATCATCTCAGGAACAGTTCTGAGTGCTATTACCTGTACACGTCTTGTTTGCAGTGTTTATTGTATACTTAAAAAAATATACCAGGACCAATGTGGTGTAGGGGGTAAAGCATCTGTCTGCAGCACCAGCATCCCATATGGGCGCTGATTCTAGTTCTGGCTGCTCCACTTCTGATCCAGCTCTCTGCTAATGGCCTGGGAAAAGCAGTGGGAAATGGCCCAAGTACTTGAGTTTCTGCCACCCACATGAGAGACCAGGAAAAAGCTCCTGGCTCCTGGCTTCAGCCTGATCCAGCCCTGGCCATTGTGGCCATCTGGGGAGCAAACCAGAAAGCCGATGAAAGATTCTCTCTCTCTCTCTTTCTCCCTCCCCCTCCCTCCCTCCCTTCCTCCCTATATAACTCTGATTTTCAAATAAAGTTAACCTTTAAAAAAAATCTCATTAATCTACAGGACAAAACTGTCACTTGTGGGATGAACTTTAAGAAAAATGCATTTCTTTAAAAATGTAAAGCAACAGAGAGAGGGAAAGAGAAAGATGTTTCATCTGTTGGTTCCTCCCCAAATGATCACAGTGGTAGTCTGGGCTATGTTGAAGCCAAGAGCCAGGAACTCCATCCAGGTCTCCCGTGTGTGGCAGGATCCCAGGCAGTTGGACCATCTTCTGGTGCTTTCCTAAGCACACTAGCAGGAGGCTGAATCTGAAGGAGAGAAACAGTAATGGAGGCTCTGACACACCGATAATGGATACTGACATCATGAGCAGCAGTTTAACCTGCTGTGCCACAACACTGGCCTCTATAATTTTAAAATTGCTTTTACACAGGCTTTACCTATCTATTGAAGCAGTGACTTTTTCTTTGTAAATTAAAAGTATTCTTGCTTATTACAGTTCTGCAACTCTTAATAATGGGACTACATTCATTTTGGCATTGTGTGACCATCATAGAGTGTACTTACATAAATAAGCTTCCGTAAAGCAAAGGAAACCATGAAAAGCCAACCTAGGGACTGGCATCATGGCATAACAGGTAAAACTGCCACATGCAGCACTGGTATCCCATATGGGTGCCAGTTTGAGTCCCTGTTGATCCACTTCCCATCCAGCTCCCTTTTAATGTGCCTGGGAAAGCAGTGGAGGATGGCCCAAGTGCTTGAGTCACTGAACCCATGTGGGAGACCTGGAAGAAGCTCCTAGCTCCTGGCTTTGGTCTGACTCAGCCCTGGTTGCTGTGGCCATTTGAGGCATGAACCAGCAGATGGAAGAGAGCTCTCTCTCTCGCTCACTTGCTCTCCCCCCCCCCATCTGTAACTTTCAAATAAATAGGTAAATGTTGGGGCCAGCACAGTGGCACAGTAGGCTAATCCTCTGCCTGGGGCGCCAGCATCCCATATGGGCGCCGCTTCTAGTCCCGGCTGCTCCTCTTCCAACCCAGCTCTCTGCCTGGGAAAGCAGTAGAAAATGGCCCAAGACCTTGGGCCCCTGCATCCACAGGAGAGACCAGGAAGAAGCACCTGGCTCCTGGCTTCAGATCAGTGCAGCTCTGACCCTTTCGGCCATTGGGGAGTGAACCAATGGATGGAAGACCTCTCTCTCTCTGTCTCTCCCTTTCATTGTCTGTAACTCTACCTCTCAAATAAATCTTTTAAAAAATAATAAAACAAATAAATAGGTAAATGTTAAAAAAAAAAAAAAACAGGGCAAATGGAGAACAAGACACAATGAGTTTTAATAACGTTTACCAGAGGACACACTCATGGTTGCTTTTCTGATCATGTTGGTAACATGGCAGGAATCTGTGGAAAAGGATGCAGGTGCCTGTGGTTCTGATCTCTTTGGTTCTTGTCTCACGACCACGGAGAATGAAGAGCATGGACAAGGAAGGGCAGGCACAGAAGCAAAGTTTATCGAAGAAAGACAAAGCCCTCCCGTGAGGAACGGGCCTCCAATGGAGTAAAGGAAGCTGTCTCGGGGTTTAAATCCTTTGGGCTACGAGGAAGCTTGTACAGGGTTTTGCAAATTTGTCATTTAGCCGTCAGTGACTTTCTCATTGCTGGGGAGTTGATATCTGGAGCTGTACAAGTCCAGCTGTAACCACATCTTGCTTTGTTTTCAGTTTCTCTCTCTTGATTTTGAGTAGTGAGGCTTTTGGATGGTGTCGCCGTTGCTCCTCGGTCCCCGCTCTCCCCGTAGTGAACACCGAGATGAGCCGGATACGGAGCGGCGCTCCGGTCCTGGCGCACCTTTCATCCCAAGGGAGACAGGCTGGTTAAGGTATCCCTCAGGTCGTTGGACATCGCATGGAAACTACATTACCCAGAAGTCTGTGCATCGAGCACGTGGCCCGCGCTCGGCCAATGACGGCCCGGGACAGAGGCGCTTCCTGTGGCTCAGGGAGGCAGGGGCGGGACTTCTGGGTTGCTGCCCTCCGACGCCATTTACCCCTACGCTTTGGTTCCCTGCAGTGTTGAGTCGCTGAGTATTCGGGCTGGGCGCCCTTTTCGGGCTTCTTTTCGGAACCTAGTGAGGAAATCCCCTCCGCACCTTTGCACAAATCGAGGCCTTCCAGGGAGGGCGTGTCCCCGGCTCTCCCGCCCTCCAGCCTCGCAGTCGCCGAGGGCAGCGCCCTGCGCCGGGTGCGCACCTTCCACCGGGGAGGCGGCGGCCGCGAGTGCGTCTGTCAGCTGGGTCGCAGGGCGCCGGCTGCACCGACCGCCCAGGGTCCCGTGATGGCGGCCGTGGCGTCCCTGACAGACCAGACGCCGGTGAGTGGACGCTGATTCCACAGCTGCTGTCTGGCGGGGCGGAGACGGTTCCTGGGGGCCGGGCCCGGCCTCGCTCCTGGCTTTCTCTCTGCTGCGGTTCGTGTTGCCAGTGGGGCTGCCTTGTGGTTTAATTTAACCCTGGTCTTAAAGGTTGTTGGGCGAAAGAACGAGCGATGCTTCCCTCGGCTTCTGCCGTCATACTTAGGCCAAGACTCGGGTCCCGCTCCGGCCTGCGGCGTGTGTTGGCTGTCTAGGTGGTGCTGTGGGGGGTCTGAGGGTGCCACGATGCCCTCCGGCCGCCGAGACGTTGAGAGTGAAATTGTGTCCTTTTCTTGCGTGTCCCCCCGCCCTCAGCCAGTGCCGGCATTGTGGCCCAAGGCTCTGGTTCTCACGGCACAGCCTGCGTGACTGTTGACCGCTTGCGTTCCGTGATTCTGCAGTGTTCTGGCCACAAGGACGAGTGCAATCAGGTCCCAGCAAGGAGAAAGGCTGCGGCTCCTTGTGGAGCTTCCCGGGGATCTGAGAGGCCCAGGCAGAGCCCCGATGGCGCGGGGCACTGCTGTGGGTCCTGCCCCTTCCTGGGAACACGCCGGCTCCTCCAAGGCTCCTCGTGGGGTCGGTCACCAGAGCTGTGCTGCTGCTGCCCGTGGTCGCAGTGCAGGCACAGGTGACTGGAATGGATTTAACAGCGAAAGCAAGTGGGACACTTCACAGGTTTCCCTAGGTTCGTTTGGGTGGTGGGGGAGAACCTGTGTTCAGATCCTGTCTGGTTGTAAATCTGTGCCTTTGAATGGTTGGTAGAGCACCTTTAGTCTGAGGTCTCCGCCTGTGACTTAAAGTGATGGTGTTCCTGTCGGCCTGTGGGAGGCTTCATGACCAGTCTTGAAGGTGCTGAGCATTGAATAATGGCTCTCAAAGCCTCCCAGCTGTCACTGGTAACTTGAGATGCAGAAATTAGGACTCTCAAAAATGGAGTGATGTCTCCGGAGTGTCATGTGTTGGCTTCCGGATTTTGGATTCGAACCTCAAGAGTCTGACATCAGCGCTGGGGAATTTTAGTCACTTTAACACGGAACGTGGAGCCTGCAGCTTGGGGCAGGCCTCTAGCGGAACCAGTGAGGCCCCGGTACTGCTGCTGTTAGCTCTATTACTGTCATTACCGTTATCACTGATTCCTCATTCCCTGACTGCCTAGCGCTCCTCTTGTTTGCGTCTCGCATCTCTCCAGCTGTGTCCCTCGTCCCCTGTCGTCCTCTTATGGTTCTTGCATAGGAAGGTCTCTCTCAACACGACTACCTCTGCCGTCAGCCCACTGCAGAGTTAGGCTTTCAATTCTGTCTCCACCTTTTCCAGCAAAGCGAAGACAAGCTCTGCTCACGTTCAGCAGCTCACAGGCCAACACCACTGCCTGTTCTTGACTTCCCAGGTGCCTGTGACCTTTGAAGACGTGGCTGTGACTTTCACCCAGGAAGAGTGGAGGCAGCTGGACCCAGCTCAGCGGTCCTTGTACCAGGAGGTGATGCTGGAGAACTGTGGGCTCCTGGTCTCTCTAGGTAAGGGTTTCTACCTTCATCATAGAAGGAAACTGCAGCCTCCCTCAACTTACCCTCTGGCTTTCAGCCTAGCTAATAAAAAAGCTCCTGGATTAATCCCCGCCTCGCCCTGCCTGGCCTGCCCCTCCCCCAGTCCTTCCCACTGCTTCAGCCATTTTCCAACCTTACTTCCTTGCTGGTATCCCTGTGTCTTTTTTTTTTTTTTTAAGAATTTATTTATTTATTTATTTGAAAGTCAGAGTTGAGAGAGAGGGGATTTTTTTTTTTTTTTTTTCTATTCTTTTTCAGGCAGAGTGGACAGTGAGAGAGAGACAGAGAAAGGTCTTCCTTTTCTGTTGGTTCACCCCCTAATGGCTGCTGTGGCTGGTGCGCTGCGCTGATCCAAAGCCAGGAGCCAGGTGCTTCCCCTGGTCTCCCATGAGGGTGCAGGGCCCAAGCACTTGGGCCATCCTCCACTGCACTCCTGGGCCACAGCAGAGAGCTGGCCTGGAAGAGGAGCAACCGGGACAGAATCTGGCGCCCCGACCGGGACTAGAACCTGGTGTGCCAGCGCTGCAAGTGGAAGATTAGCCTATTGAGCCTCGGTGCCAGCCTAGAGAGAGAGAGGGGACTTCTATCTGCTGGTTCATTCTCCAGATGGCCGAAATGGCTGGAGCTGCATCGATCTGAAGCCAGGAGCCAGGAGCTTCTTTCAGGTCTCCCATGTGGACACAGGGGCCCATGGACTTGGGCCATCTTCTGCTGCTTTCCCAGGCCATAGCAGAGAGCTGGATTGGAAGTGGAGCAGCCAGGACTCAAAACCAGTGCCCATATGGGGTGCCTGCACTGCAGGCGGCAGCTTTACCCACTATACCAGAGCACTGGCCCCTGAGGTCTATTAGGATCATAAAATTTTATGCCTTTTTTAAGTGCTTGGCACTTGATAAGTGAAACATATACTCAGGTATTGTCAGTAGTGTCTGTAACTGTGAAAGGAATAAGGAGTGTCTTGGGAAGGCCTTATTTTGTAGTAGTATTATGTGTAGAGCTGTGTGGTTAATTTATTTTTTGTCTGTGAGGCAGGTTTTATTACCTAGAAAAAGAAAATTTTTATACAGTGGTCTAGCAGTTCATAATAATTTTGAAAAACGAGACCTTTATTTTTTTGTTAAAGCATCCAGTGCTACAAGTTTGCATAGTTTGGCCAAGTGTGTTTTACTATAGGCCTTGTCCTTTATCTAAGATTTCCTAGCTGAAGAATAGAAGGTGGCCGGCGCCACGGCTCACTAGGCTAATCCTCTGCCTGCAGCGCCAGCACACTGAGTTCTAGTCCTGGTCGGGGTGCCAGATTCTGTCCCGGTTGCTCCTCTTCCAGGCCAGCTCTCTGCTGTGGCCTGGGAGTGCAGTGGAGGATGGCCCAAGTGCTTGGGCCCTGCACCCGCATGGGAGACCAGGAGAAGCATCTGGCTCCTGGCTTCAGATCAGCGCAGTGCGCAGGCCGCAGCAGCCATTGGAGGGTGAACCAACAGAAAAGGAAGACCTTTCTCTCTGTCTCTCTCACTGTCCACTCTGCCTGTTAAAAAAAAAAAAAAAAAGGCTACAGCAATCCGTTAAACTCCCATGGTGTCTGATGGTTAGAACTGTCATTCACATAGTCTGAAATTCTTTTTTGTTCTCTCAGTTAAATCCCTGAGAGTTTGGGGAAGTGGTCACCTCCAGTACGTTTGCACATTGCTAGATTGAGTATAGCGCATAGACCACCACTTCCTGCAGGGGGCACACAGGAGAGGACCCACACTGGATTCTGTCCCGTCTTCAGGAGGCCTGGGAAACCATGTGAAACTAGGAAGGTACTGTTTCCATGACCCAAAGCATGAAGAGCTGCTGGGTGTGTAGTATTATCAGTCATTTTTAAAAATGTATTTATTTATTTACTTGTTTGTTTGAAAGGCAGGGTAGGGGAAAGGGAAAACCAGAGAGAGCAAGAGAGAGTCCATAAGAGTCCATACATAGCCGGCGCCGTGGCTCAATAGGCTAATCCTCCACCTTGCGGCGCCGGCACACCGGGTTCTAGTCCCGGTTGGGGCGCCGGATTCTGTCCCGGTTGCCCCTCTTCCAGGCCAGCTCTCTGCTATGGCCAGGGAGTGCAGTGGAGGATGGCCCAGGTGCTTGGGCCCTGCACCCCATGGGAGACCAGGAAAAGCACCTGGCTCCTGGCTCCTGCCAGGATCAGCGCGGTGCGCCGGCTGCAGCGGCGGCCATTGGAGGGTGAACCAACGGCAAAGGAAGACCTTTCTCTCTCTGTCTCTCTCTCTCTCACTGTCCACTCTGCCTGTCAAAAAAAAAAAAAAAAAAAAAAGAGTCCATACAATGATTTACTCCCCCAAATGGCTGCAGTGGCCAGTGTTTAGTCAGGCCAAAGTCAGGAGCCTGGAACTCCATCTCAGTCTCCCACATGGGTGCAGGGGCGCAAGGACGTGGGCCATCTTCTACTGCTTTCCAGGTACATTGGCAGGGAGCTGGACCAGAAGCAGAGCCATCGGGTCTGGAACCAGTGCTCATACAGGATGCTGGGATTGTAGGCAACCCCAATATTTCAGATTTTTAAATTTTCAGTGATCCCTGAAAGGCTAGTGTGTAGAGGCATCAAGTCTGCCCTGCCCCCTGCCCCCGAGGATGAGTCCCCCTCACCCGCCTGCCTGACCCAACACCACCTGCCACTCGGCCTCTGCTGCTGACCCACCGGGGCGCTCTCAGCTGCCTTCTGTGGTGCTTGGAGAACACGATCTATAGCCAGATCCCTCATGTGGTCTCCCCCGTGGGTGCAGGGGCTTAAGGACCTGGGCCATCCTCCACTGCTATCCCAGGCCATAGCAGAGAGCTGGGTTGGAAATGGAGCAGCTGGGACTAGAACCAGCGCCCATATGGGATGCCAACGCTTCAGGCCAGGGTGTTAACCTGCTGTGCCACAGTGCCGGCCCCTGGTTTCTTCATCTATACAGTAGTGCTGATCACAATATAGACATCCTGGCTATGCTGTGGGGAAATTCATTTAGTTTATGACTTACAGGAAGAGAACTGTAAAACTTTGTTCGGGGCGAAAAAGACTTCAATCAGTGAAACTACATGCCTTGCATTGAATGAAATCAGTTGGTATGTTAAATATATCACTTTCTTACCCCATAAATTTATTTCAATTTGAAATGACATAATGTGTTGCTTGGTACATTTCCTAGAATGTGGTCACACTCAAATACTAGTTTTTTATGTTTAGGAGGGAAAGTTCCACAGCAGGCAAAGTGGGATAATGACTAAGCACCCAGACTTAGAAGCTGCAGTTCATAAAAGTCTTCTTAAGAAATGACATTTGAGAGGATCCCCGAGGTGTTAGAGTTAGCTGGAAGGAGCAAGGAAGAGGAGCAGACCTTGTTCAGGTAGAAGGATTGGCGTGTGCAAAGACCCTGAGGTGGGAGGAAGCATGAACCGGACAGAGCTGAGGACTGGCCCACCTCTTTGCCTGCCTGATCAGAGTCCAGTGGCAGGCATGAAGCAGACACAAGTGAACCTTGCTTGGGGATGACTGACGAATCCTGTGCTGTGGTTCAGGACATCCCAGAGAAGCCAGCTATGAGTCCTGGTGCTCCTGCTGTTGACTTCTCCACAGAGTCTTTGCTTCTGTTACCTCCGTGTCTGTCAATGTGTGTTTGACTGCACATGACAACCAGTTCAAACGGTCCTCATTCTGTAAGAAAGGTGATATATCACGTAGTAAGCCCAGAGCGGGGCTGGCCTCCGGTGGTGGTGGCTGCCATCTTCTGCTCCTTGTTACAAGCCTGAAGGAGCTTCCCGCACAGAAGTCCCAGGATGCTGCCGGGCAGCAGGAGCTTCCGACCCCTCCATTGATCCCTGCCTGGAAACAACACTTCCTCTAGGTGGTCAGTGTAGGGGACCTGGCCACCTCAGACTGTGGAAGGTCAAGGAATGCAGCTCACAAGTTGGACGGTTTTTCAACTGTCCCTGGCCGCCAGAATCACCAAGAGGAGTTTTGAAATTCTAATGTTCAGGCCTCAAGACCAGAGATTTGGATGTGAACCAGACATCCAAGGAGGTATTGATATGCTGTGAGGTTGAGACTGACTTTCTGGACTAATTAGAAAAAGTTTTTCAGGAAAGAAGTGTAATTTTTCCAGAGTCTGCATCTGAACAGGTCTGGGATTTTAGAAAAAGGAAGCCGAAGTGAATACAGGTTGCCCACCCAGCTACCACTACGATCGACAGAGTATATTTGCACGTCACAGGATAACATCTGTTCGTGTCGGTGGGAGCAGCTTCTAGACTAGATTTAGAGAAGTTACTTCTTTTCACAAAACGCCTGTGTGTACCCTGAACAGGATGTCCTGTTCCCAGACCTGAGCTGATCTGCCAGCTGGAGCGGGTGCAGGAGCCGTGGACTCTGAAGAATGACCTCTCCCAAAGCTCTCGGTCAGGTAAGAGCTAAGGTTGGGCAGAGGGAATCACTGGGTAGCTCTTGTTCTGTTCTGTTTTGCTTTCAGCATCTAGATTTTTATTAATGCAAGTTTTTAAAAACAAGCATCTTTACCAGTATAGGGGGTTCGGGTAGAGCAAGGGAAAGGAATTCCGCTCTATTGCTAAGAAAGCTCCAGGTTCATCTGTCATGGATTTTCTAGTCCACCAGCAACTTGTCCTTAGAAATTTTATTTTTTAAAGATTTTTTTGTTTATTTGAAAGGCAGAGTTACAGAGAGGCAGAGGCAGAGAGAGACAGACAGGTCTTCCATCCACTGGTTCACTCCCCCAAATGGCTGCAACAGTTGGAGCTGGGCTGATCCGAAGCCAGGAGCCAGAAGCTTCTTCTAGGTCTCCCACGTGGGTGCAGGGGCCCAAACATTTGGGCCATCTTCCACTGTGTTCCCAGGCCATAGCAGAGAACTGGTTCGGAAGTAGAACAGCTGGGACTTGAACTGGCACCCATATGAGATGCCAGCACTGGCTATGCCACAGTACTGGCTCCCATATACCATTTCTTAAGAACAGTCTTATTCCCATGAGTGCCAGTTTGATCTGCAGTTTCTTAAGGTCCCTGATAGTGTTACTGGTGTTGTAGTTAACACAGCCTTCTTGCCCATAGGGTTGTTGCAAACAACCTCTGTCATCCCGGCTGGAGCTGTAATCTCAAACCTGTAAGTCACTGCAACCTCGCACTTGGGAAGTATTTTGTAGCCTCTTTGGGGATGCAGAACCAGGGAGCCTTTGACCTGTGGCTCCCCTGTCCTCCTAGCTCCATCACACTCATCACCACTTCTGGGAGAGGGGAGGTTTATGAACTGTGATCTGTGTCAGGGTTCCATCTAAGTGGGTTTGAAGTCCGGCTTGCTGATTACCAGCTTTGTGGCCCTAGCACAGAGGTGTGATCTTGTGTCTTCGTAAATAAGTTCAGCTGAATTAATGCTGCCTGCCTTATGAGGCAAGCATCAAAATCTCAGTGGTTTGCTCCCACCGTGGTTTCTGTCCATAGTGAGCTCTGTGCCACCTGGTTTTTCAGAGACCCAGATATCTTCTGTTGCTTTAAGATTATCCTGCTAAGGGGGCCAGCATTATAGCGTAGCAGGTAAAGCTGTTGCCTGTGACGCTGGCATTCCATATGGACGTGGGTTTGGGTCCTAACTGCTCTGCTTCCGATCCAGCTCTGTGCTAATGCATTTGGGAAAGCAGCAGAAGATAGCCCAAATCCTTGGGCACCTGCCACCCATGTAGGAAACCTGGGAGAAGTTCCTAAATCACAACTCAATTGCAAGTTTGGGTTTCTGCAAACCACCCTCAGGTTTGCTAATTAAAAAGACTCACAAAAACTCTGTAAAACAGGCCGGCGCCGCGGCTCACTAGGCTAATCCTCCGCCTAGCGGCGCCGGCACACCGGGTTCTAGTCCCGGTCGGGGCGCCGGATTCTGTCCCGGTTGCCCCTCTTCCAGGCCAGTCCTCTGCTGTGGCCAGGGAGTGCAGTGGAGGATGGCCCAGGTGCTTGGGCCCTGCACCCCATGGGAGACCAAGAAAAGCACCTGGCTCCTGGCTCCTGCCATCAGATCAGCGCGGTGCGCCGGCCACAGCGCGCCGGCTGCGGCGGCCATTGGAGGGTGAACCAACGGCAAAAGGAAGACCTTTCTCTCTGTCTCTCTCTCTCACTTTCCACTCTGCCTGTCAAAAAAAAAAAAAAAAAACTGTAAAACATACGTTGTTGACAATCCTGTTTATTACTGACAAAGGATACCAATTAGAAGAGATGTGCCATGTGGAGCTGCAGGGTTCCAAATACTGAGCCTCCGTGTCTTCAGGAGTTCTTAACCTCCTGGCCTTGACGTGGAAATATGTGCCTGAAGTGTTGCCAACCCAGGAATCTCAGCAGTTTTGGTGTCAGAGTGTTTTTGATGCTTCCTTCCCTAAACAGATTTGTTTGAATTGTTGCCAAATGGCTAAATAGCCACACTTCTCTTTCCGGAGGTCCAGCTTTCAATCACATGGTTTGTCTTTCTATGTGGCCAGACCTTATCTTCAGTCATCTCTTCAGGATAAACTGTGTAGGGAGGGGCCTATAATGAGTTGCCCATTGATATAAACAGTTGTGGTCCTTGGGGCCTACTGGATAAAGACAGTCTGAGGGGAGAAAGGAAAGAAAATAAGAAAAAAATTCTGAAAACACCCAGTGTTTGAGGGATACTTCTCATGGCCAGACAAAACCCAGACTTCCCTCTGGGAAGTCTGTTTTCCTTTACAGACATCTTGTCTTCCATGTGGTCTGCATGAGGTGCCCTTTCTCAGCATTCTTTTGGGAACACGGGCTATTATTGCTTAGAGAAAACTGACAACACCCATCGGCATTACTCCATCCATGTTCAGTCTAACTTTGAAGGTGGCTATTCAGTAGACCCTCATCCCCTGAACCAGGCTCTCCCCAGAATCTCCATTCAAGGTTTTCTGCTTCAAGGACCAGAAAAGAAAGAAATTAGAAACCTGGAGCTCAAAGATAAAACATAATGGATATAGAGGGACCACTTTCAACTTTATTTTCTTGTTTTTACCAAAGTGCTGATTTTGTTTTATTTTGATACTACTGACAGGCTGTTTTGCGTACTGGGTTTTTTCAGGTCCTAAAGGAAGACTCAAGAACACAGAACCTGCCGCTTGTGAGCCAGCCTTGCGTGACGGAGCCTCAGGGGACTCCCAGCTGGTGCAAGCCAGGCATCAGGACAGGTCATCAGAAATGCAGGAAGGATACTTGAGACAATGGCTAGACTCCCAAGAGGAAAAGCTTCCTGGGAAAGTGAATTCTGGACATGTTTTAGGGCCAGCTGAGGACATGTGTTCAAGGATTATACAGCGGCAAGTCTCTCTAGGAGACACTGCCCATAACCCTAGCTCCCATGGACCAGGTAAGCATCCCATGATTCAGGAAGAAGAAAATACCTATAAATGCAGTGAATGTGGGAAGGTGTTTAACAAGAAACACCTCCTTGCTGGACATGAGAAAATACACTCTGGAGTGAAGCCCTATGAATGCACAGAGTGTGGGAAGACCTTTATTAAGAGCACTCACCTCCTTCAACACCAGATGATCCACACCGGGGAGAGGCCCTATGAGTGCATGGAGTGCGGGAAGGCCTTCAACCGCAAGTCATACCTTACCCAGCACCAGCGGATTCACAGTGGAGAGAAACCTTACAAGTGCAATGATTGTGGAAAGGCCTTCACTCACCGCTCCAATTTTGTGTTGCATAATAGGAGACACACGGGAGAGAAATCGTTTGTGTGTACAGAATGTGGGCAAGTCTTTCGACATAGGCCAGGTTTCCTACGACACTATGTTGTCCACAGCGGGGAGAATCCCTATGAGTGCTTCGAGTGTGGTCAGGTCTTCAAACACAGGTCCTACCTCATGTGGCACCAGCAGACTCATACTGGGAAAAAGCCCTATGAGTGCAGTGAGTGTGGGAAGGTCTTCTTGGAGAGTGCGGCCCTGATTCACCACTATGTCATCCACACCGGGGAGAAGCCCTTTGAGTGCCTGGAGTGTGGGAAGGCCTTCAACCACAGGTCATACCTCAAGAGGCACCAGCGGATTCACACTGGGGAGAAGCCTTTTGTGTGCAGTGAATGTGGGAAAGCCTTCACCCACTGCTCTACATTTATCTTGCATAAGAGGGCCCACACTGGAGAAAAACCTTTTGAGTGCCAAGAGTGTGGGAAAGCCTTTAGCAACCGGAAAGACCTCATTCGACACTTCAGCATCCACACTGGAGAGAAGCCCTATGAGTGTGTAGAGTGTGGGAAGGCCTTCACTCGCATGTCAGGCCTCACGAGGCACAAGCGGATTCACAGTGGAGAAAAGCCCTATGAATGCGTCGAGTGTGGGAAATCCTTTTGTTGGAGCACAAACCTCATTCGCCACGCCATCATACACACTGGAGAAAAGCCCTATAAGTGCAGTGAATGTGGAAAGGCATTCAGTCGCAGCTCATCCCTTACTCAGCATCAAAAGATGCACACGGGGAAGCACACTATCAGTGTGACAGACGTGGGAAGACCTTTCACAAGTGTACCCACCTCAGTCACCCTCCGAGAACTCCTTTTAGGGAAAGACTTTTTGAATGTGACAAATGAGAAAAATGTTTTGCCACAGGAAACTTCCTCAGCATCTGAGAATACACACCAAAGAAAAACCCCACAAGTGTCTTCACTGTGAGAAAACCTTCAGTTGCAGAATATTACTGCCATTTAAAGATTCATATTAGAAATTAGAGCCTTATTCTCCATCTGAAAATTCATACTGGAGAGAAACCCAGTACAGTTTTTGCACATAGGAAAACTTTTAGCTTCCATTTTTTTATTAGTTTACAGTGCCAATTTATCTCAGGAATTGTTTTTAAAATAGGAAATGTAGAGAAAGTAAAGTGCAAGCACAGATCTCAGACTCCTCTGCCAAAAGCTATGACTCTCTGTCATCGTCTTCTCAGTTTATTTGAGGTGAGAGGAGTGTTGTGTCTTATGTCTGTCCAGGATCAAGAGGTTGACGCTTGAAATCAAGTCTGTAAATTCTACTGTGTTCTTATGACAGTGGGAGGCTTGAGCCATGAAATACGTTTTTATTTAAGGCAATAATAATACACACTTGAACAGGCACATTTTTGGAGCACCACTTTAGACTATTTAAGGCTTAATTTAAAAAAAAAAAAAAAAAGCTTCGTTCATTTGCTTTTAAAAACCTGACACTCAGACCATTTCTCGATTCCTATATGTTGGTGTACTTGATTGCTGTAGCTATATGGTAAATCTTCAAATTAGGTAAAAATAATTGCTTTCTAGGTTAGAACTTATTTGACATTTCTCTTTAACATTTCCTATAAAATTTGAAGTTAGTCTATACTTGCAAAAAATTTCTCAGATTTTCAAAGAAATTGAGATCAGTTTGTTGATAATTTATATCTTTATCGAATTTTGGTATTATTAATATAATCTCCATTTATTTAAGCATTCTTCAATTTTATATAGTTTAAAAAAAATATATATATATATATATATATATATATATATCCTGTATGGTTTTCTTAGGATTCACATTTAGTGGTTTTTTGTTTTGGCGTAGATTTTTTTTTAACTTTTCATTTTATTTGAAGGCAGAGAGAGATCTTCCATCTGCTGGTTCACTCTCAAAATGTCCATAACAATCTGGGGCTACCTCAGGTCAAAACCAGGAGCCATCTAGGTTTTCCACATAGGGGGCAGATACCCAAGTACTTGAGCCATCATCTGCTGTCTCCTAGGGAGCATGCCAGCAGGAAGCTGGATTGGAAGCAGAGTCAAGTACTGTTGATACGCAATGCAGGCACCTCCTGTGGTGTCTTAACTGCTGCACCAAATGCCTTTGTGTTGTGGGTTTTTTTTTTGGGTGGTGATAAATAGCCTTTATTTTTTAAACTTGAAGTTTCTACATGTTTTGTAGTGTACAGAAACACAATTACACACACATACTCATATATATTAAAGATTGATTTATTTTATTTGAAAGGAAGAGTTACAGAGAGGCAGAGACAGGTCTTACATCCACTGGTTCATTCCCTAAGTGACCACAACGACCGGAGCTGGGCTGATCCAAAACCAGAAGCCAGGAGCTTCTTCTGGGTCTCCCACATGGGTGCAGTGGCCTAAAGACTTGGGCCATCTTCCACTGCTTTCTCAAGCCATTAGCAGAGAGCTGGATCCAAAGTGGAGTAGGGGCTTGCACTGTGGTGTATCAGGTAAAGCCGCCATCTGCAGTGCCGGCATCCCATATGGGTGCTGGTTTGAGTCCTGGCTGCTCCACTTCTGATACAGCTCTCTGTATTGCCTGGGAAAGCAGTAGAAGATGGCCCAAGTCCTTGGGCCCCTGTACCCACGTGGGAGACCTGAAAGAAGCTCCTGGCTCTTGGCTACTGTTGGTGCAGCTCCTGCTGTTGTGGCCAATTGGGGAGTGAACCAGCAGATGGAAGACCTCTCTCTGCCTCTCCTCTCTGTATCTCTGACTTTCAAATAAATCTAAAAAAAAAAAAAAAAAAAAATGGAGCAGTCGGGACTGGTGCCCTTATGGAATGCCTGCACTGCAGGCAGCGGCTTCACCTTCTATGCCACAGCACCGGCCCCCACAATTATATTTTGAATATTTTGCTATCCTGCAACTTTGCTGAACTCAGTTATTATTTCTAGCCTCTTTTGAGCAAGTCTAGATTTTCTACATAAAAATATCATCTGCAAATAGTTTTAGTTCTTTCTTCTCATGAATAGTTTAGTTCTTTTGTTTCTCTTTTTAAAAAACAAAAAACTTTGAGAGACAGCTCCTATTCACTGCTTCACTCAAATTTTGTAATTTGAATCATTGTTTGAATATTTCCTTATTCTTTGAATGGCAGCATTATTTTATCAGTATCACTGGTTTCTGCTCTGACATGTATTCTTTCTTCTGCTTGCTTTACTTGTATGTGGTTCTTACTAATTCTTGAGGTAGATATTTGGATTTTTTACTTAAGACATTTTTTTACTTTTTAATGTAAGAAAGTTTTTTTTAAAAAAAGTTGGTTTGTTTGAGAGAGAGCTTCCATCTTCATTCCCTATGTGGCGATTACAGCTAGTGCTGGGACAGGCCAAAATCAAGTTTCATCCAAGTCTCCCATGTGAGTGGTAGGGGCCCAAACCCTTGGGCCATTTTCTGCTGCTTTTCTTAGGCTATTAATAGGACGCTGGATTGGAAGTGGAGCAGCTAGAATGAACTAGCACCCTTAGGGGATACCAGCATTGTAGGCTGCAGCTTTGCCACCATGATGCTGGCCTTAAACCAAATTCCATGTTTCCCTCACAGTATTGTTAGCTTTGTCCAACAAGTTTTAATGTTTTAATTATATTCAATTATTTTTTTAAGGAAATTCCCATTTTTTTTAAAGATTTTTTTTTTTATTGTAAAGACTTAGATCTTCCATCTGCTGGTTCACTCCCCCAAATGGCTGCAATGACCAGGGCTGGGCTAGGCTAAAGCCAGGAGCTAAGAGCTTCCTCTGGGTCTCTCATGTGGGTGCAGGGGTCCAAGCACTTGGGCCATTCTCTACTGCCTTCCCAGGCACATTAGCAGAGAGCTGGATTGGAAGATGAACAGCCAGGACTGGAACTCGCACCCACATGGGATGCTGACGTCTCAGGTGGTGGCTTTACCTGCCACACTACAACACTGGCCCTATATTTCATTCAGTTCTGGAATCCTTCATTCCTTTTGAGACTTCCCCTCCAACCCTGGAATTACATAGATATTTGTGACTTCCTGGTGTATGGACTATCTCCTATCTGTTAATTCATTTCTTTTTTTTTTTTTTTTTTTTTTTTGTTCTCGACACGCAGAGTGGACAGTGAGAGAGAGAGACAGAGAGAGAAAGGTCTTCCTTTTGCCGTTGGTTCACCCTCCAATGGCCGCCGCTGCAGCCGGCGCACCGTGCTGATCCGATGGCAGGAGCCAGGATCCAGGTGCTTTTCCTGGTCTCCCATGGGGTGCAGGGCCCAAGCACCTGGGCCATCCTCCACTGAACTCCCTGGCCATAGCAGAGAGCTGGCCTGGAAGAGGGGCAACCGGGACAGAATCCGGCACCCCAACCGGGACTAGAACCCGGTGTGCCGGCGCCGCAAGGTGGAGGATTAGCCTATTGAGCTACGGCGCCGGCCTTGTTAATTCATTTCTAATTTGATTCACTTTTGACCTGACTTTAAATTTGTACACTTTCTTTTTTAAAGATCTACCATATGGTGTCTTGTTCTGTATGGATATTTAACAAGAATGTGTGTTCTGTCATTGGGTGGAGTTTCTGTAGTTGCCTGCAGATCTGTTGGTTAATGGAATCATTTAGCTGTTCTAGATCTTTGCTGGGTTTTTTTGGTCCAGGCTTTATTTTTTGAGAAAACTGTAAGAGTTTATTGAGAATCTTGTCAAATATCCAATCTAAGAACAGTTTGCATTGTTTAAACTTACCTTTCTTTAAACCTTCAGCTACTTCTGGCCCCTTAGAGGGTTCTAGGTTTGATAGAATCTCTTGGACATCAACACCAGATACCTTGTTAACCTCAAGTCTTTTTTTTTTTTTTTTAAAGATTTATTTATTTGAAAGGCAGAGATACAGAGAAAGAAAGGGGAGGGGGGGAGATCTTCCATCAGCTGGTTCACTCCCCAAATGGCTGCAATGGCTTGGGCTACATGAGACCGAAGCCAGGAGCTTCATCCAGGTCTCCAGTGTGGGTGCAGGGGCCCAAGGACTTGGACCATCCACTGCTTCCAGTCAGGCCCTTTAACCTCAAATGTTCCCTCATTTTCTGTCTCCTTGCCAGGTATAATACCCTCACCTTAATTAGTGCCTCTTTTTTTTTTTTTTTTTTTTTTTTGGAAGATTTTTCATTTTTATTTATTTGAGAAGTAGTTACAGAGAGAAAGAGAGACAAAGTCTTCCATCTGCTGGTTCACTCCCTAAATGACTGCAATAGCTGGAGCTGAGCCATTCTGAAGCCAGGAGCCAAGAGTTTCTTCCGGTCTCCCATGTGGGTGTAGGGGCCCAAGGACTTGGGCCATCTTCGCTGCTTTCCCAGGCCATAAACAGAGAGCTGAATCAGAAGAGGAGCAGTCAGGCCTCGAACCGGCGCCCATACAGGATGCCAGCACTGCAGGTGGAGGCTTAGCCTACTGTGCCACCATGTGGCTCTTGTTGAGGTGGTTGATCACCAGATTGTGCAGAAAGCAGAGGCCCAACCAGATTAGAAGATTCTTGTGTCATCTTCTAGATTTACATTTTGATCTTTCTTATATTTCACATGACTGAGTCTCAAGCAGCAAGAAAGGATCTGTCTAATATTTCTGTTGGTGAGAGAGGGGTGTTGAAGTCCCGAACTGTAATTATAGAATATATTCCTCTATGGGGCCAGCACTGTAGCGTAGCCAGTAAAGCTGCCACCTGCAGTGCCGGCATCCCATATGGGTGTCGGTTCAAGTCCCAGCTGCTCCACTTCTGATCCAGCTCTCTGCTGTGGCCTAGGAAAGCAGTAGAAGATGGCCCAAATCCTTGGGCCCCTGCACCCACATGGGAGACCCAGAGGAAGCTTCTGGCTCCTGGCTTAGGATCTGCACAGCTCCAGCCATTGCAGCCAACTGGGGAGTGAACCAGCAGATGGAAGACCTCTCTCTCTCTCTGCCTCTCCTCTCTCTGTGTAACTCTGACTTTCAAGTAAATAAATAAATCTTTTAAAGATTTTTTTATTTATTTGAGAGGTAGAGTTACAGACAATGAGAGGAAGAGACAGAAAATTCTTCCATCGGTTCACTCCCCAAATGGCCGCAACAGCCGGAGCTGTGCCAATCTGAAGCCAGGAGCTTCTTCTGGATCTCTCATGCAAGGGCCCAAGGACTTGGGCCATCTTCTGCTGCTTTCCCAGGCCATAGCAGAGAGCTGGATGGGAAGAGGAGCAGCTGGGACTAGAACCGGTGCCCATATGGGATGCTGGTGCTGCAGGTGGAGGATTAACATAGTGTGCCACAGCGCTGGCCCCAATAAATAAATATTTTTTTAAAAAAATTCCTCTAAATTCTATCAGTTTTTGCTTTATGTAACTCAAAGCACATTTCTTTAGTTTATGTATATTTATGATTGCTTAGTCCTTTTTCACCATTTTGCCACTGTTAATTTTGTTGGCTTTCCAATGTACTTTATCTTAGCTAACAGTCATTACTGCATTTTTTTTTTAAATAAAGATTTATGTATTTATTTTAGAGGTAGAGTTACAGAGAAGTAGAGGCAGAGAGAGAATCTTCCATCTGCTGGTTCATTCCGCAGATGGTTGCAATGGTCGGGGCTGTGCCAATCCAGAGCCAGGAGCTTCTTCTGGATCTGCTATGTAGGTGCAGGGGCCCAAGGACTTCAACCATCTTCTGCTTTCCCAGGCCATAACAGAGGGCTGGATTGGAAGTGGAGCAGTTGGGACTCAAACTGGTGCCCATATGGGATGCTGGTGCTGTAGGCAGTGACTTTACCCGCTACTCCACAGCACCAGCCCCTGCAATTTTTTTTTTTTTTTTTTTGACAGAGAGAGAAAGGTCTTCCTTCTGTTGGTTCACCCCACCCCACCCCCCAAATGGCTGCTACAGCTGGAACTACACCAATCCAAAGCCGGGAGCCAGGTGCTTCCTCCTGGTCTCCCATGCGGGTGGGTACAGGGACCCAAGCACCTGGACCACCCTCCACTGCCTTCCCAGGCCACAGCAGAGAGCTGAACTGGAAGAGAGCAACTGGGACTAGAACCCGGCGCCCATATGGGATGCTGGTGCCGCAGGCGGAGGATTAACCAAGTGAGCCACGGCACTGGCCCGCCCCTGCATTTTTTTAAAGTTAATATTTGTATGGTTTATATTTTTCATTTTATTTTCAACTTTGTGTTAGTCAATTTTCATTAAGATACTTGAAGGAGGTACTCTGGAAGGGAAAGTTTCATTTCAGGTTATGGTTTTAGGTTCGGTTATTCTGGTGTTGTGTGGAGGCTGGCTGTGGCAGAGCAGGTATGAAGGAGCTGTGGCGTGGTGAGCCAGGCCTCAGAGAGGTTAGGCTGAACTAAGTTGAATAGCTAACCTTATAGAAGAATTATCTTCTGAGGACAGCACCCCAGTGACTTGAAAGACTTCTACTAGTCCCAGCTTCTGGCCTCCACAATTAGTTCATCAATCATTAGTGTTGATCCATTAACTTTACCACACAAGACTTTGTGGTTTAAATGTCTGCACGAGTATGAGAAGCTAAGTCCTCAATCCATAGCAAGTTTTATCTATATCACTGTATTTGAAGTAAGCTGCTTTTAAATAGTACATATTGCAGTCATGCTTTTTATCTGTTCAGTGATTTGCTAAGAATTTACAAAACTGAGCATTTTCTCATTCTTAACATCTATGATGTACCACACCAAAGAACTACAAACTAAATAAAACTCTTATAGGCTGAAGTCCAGAAAAAGACAAGCACAATTTTAGAGCCCTATGTCAGCAGAGTCACAC